AATGCCATAGCTGTGATGAAGGATGGAAAGAAAGTAGCAAGTTTACGACGTGATGCCTCAGAAGTGCTAGCTCCCGTTATGGATTCACAGTCAGCGAAATACTACGTTTTGAAACCAAGGCTAAGTGCTTCAAACCACTCACCAAGGTATGGATCGTTGCAATATTGCAATATTGGATTCATCGTGAATGAAGAGAAAGCAGAACGCGTGCGCCACATGCTGCGTGGTTCATCTTACGTCGTTAAGTTCCAATGAGTTTTTACGTAAAAACACAAACAAAGCGGCCCTTTTCAGGGCCACCACACACTCCAAAAAGAGAACTACCATAACAAACACACTATTTAAATAAATCGAACGCGTTCGTTTTTGACAAATAAAACTTTATTGTTGACCCTGTTCTTGGCTAAAAATCACCCTGGGCGTTTAACCGAGGATGTCCCCAACATGTAAATTTTGTGAAAACAGGGGTGGGCGCTTGCCCAGGGAGGGGTGCATGCCTGGGGTAATACGGTAGGTGATTAATAAGCATAAATATTTACCAAAAACTAATTGGTTCTCTGCATAGTTCTCTTTAAAAGTTTCACTAAAACCCTGCTAAAATCCAAGTCATGGTTCTTTACATATCAGTGGAACATTATGCAAATTAGGTAATTAATATCCAATTAAAACTAATCAGGTTTGTGCAGTGTCCTATGACATCTATGTACTAAGTTTTATTGAAATATGATGATTAGTACTAGAGATATCAGGCAAAAAATTAACTAATTATGCTAATAAGGTAATTAATATGCACAAATATTTACCCAAAAACTAAAAAAAGCTGGTCAATTCTTTCCCAGCAATCAGGGGTCTCCACAGTCCTTAACTGTGTACCAAGTTCATTGAAATGTGATGATTGCTACTTGAAATATCAAAAGCTGAAAATTAATTAATTATGCAAATTAGGTGATTAATATATACTGATATTACCCTAAAAACTATCAGGTCTGCACAGTGGTTTCCTATGATATCTATGTATCAAGTGTCATTGAAATGTGATGGTTACTACTTGAAATATCAAAAGCTGAAAATTAATTAATTCATATGTACTGATATTACCCTAAAAACTATCAGGTTTGTGCAGTGTCCTATGACATCTATGTACCAAGTTTTATTGAAATGTGATGATTAGTACTTGAGATATCAGTGGAAAAGCCAAAAATTGATTAATCATTATGCAAATTAGGTAATTAATATTGCGCAGATTTTCACCCCAAACTAATCAAATCTGCGCATTAGTTTGGAGCATCCATGTGCCAGGTTTCATCAAAATCCAATGAGTGGTTCTTTAGATATCAGTGGAACAGTCATAGAACAGCTAAAAATCAGCTAATTATCATGCAAATTAGGTAATTGATATGTATGGATTTTTACCAAAACCTAATCAAATCTGGGCATTGGCCCAGAGCACCAAGTTTCATCAAAAATAAATGTATGGTTTCTTGAGATATCAGTGGATAGAGATGACAAATTTAACACCAAAAAGACGTTGAAAACTGCATTTGTTAATTATTCAGTGAAAATGCACAAACACAGAATGGCAGATTAGACTTCACTTCTTTGTTGGTGAAACTGATGGTTCATTGCGTGTTTTTGCCATTCTACACAAAACATTGCGAACTTTGCGTGGTTTGTACTTGTCTACTTCAGTATTTGAGGTCCTGAGAATTATATGATAATGTTTTGTATTTCATCTCAGACCACTAATAAACAGCCTGGCAATGCTATAGTTTAGAGGTGTCAATCTGCCTAATCCCGGCAAACGTGTTTCTCTGTTATGCTGGTGACTCACGCTTTGCTGAATGGCGAGTATACACATCGGAAATCCTTAGCCTTGTGTGCATTTTAGTCATTTTCTGTGTTAAGTTGAGTTCAGATCATGAAAGAGTTTTACGTTGACTTGCATATAGTTCGATTTTTCTAAGATAGTTCATGTCACCATGTTTACAACAAAGCTGGTCTTATGTTATTATATTTCGCTGATCATGTATTAAAAAGCCTTTGAAAATGTGATACATTAGGGCTAAACTGTACCAGTCAACTAAACCAAAATTCATATAAATTCGGTCTTGAAATAGTACCGACGTGATGTTTTGATTTTGCACATGTGTGTAGCAATGCTGCGTCAAGAGAATGCTCATTACTTACTTCCACCTGAATTATTTCCACTGATATTGAATTTTATACTTTCTGTTTTATTTTTACCCAGACCTGTTTTATGAATGTCTGTGGGCGAAAATCACTAACGTAAGGAAAATATGTTTCTTGTGAAGTTGTGTGACTTCATTGTTTATAAGATTAAAACATTATCGCAAAATTAAACCCGATACACATGTTAGATCAAAACCAATCTGTTCATTAGTGGTCTGAGATTTTATGAACAAATTTTTAAAAATGTAGAAACCAAAAAAGCGATATTCTATGCTATTGTGAGATAGAAACGTCAATCACGTTTATTCCAGAGCAGCAAACAAACAGCTACATGCACCACCATAGGCGAGTTAGTAACACAGTGCTGTAATTAATTCAACTACAGACTGTATCAGCAATGCAGAATGCTAGAAAAAACACAAAATATAATAAACATTGTTTCACACAAAACCCACTCATTTACAGTCAACATAATTGTATCACCTTTTGCAACCAATACTGGATCTGTTCCCTGAGTTATAACAACAATACGTGATTTCTTGTCATTCTTCTTTGGGAGGGAACACATTTTCAGAGCTATCTCCTTAACGTTCTCCGTCTAGAAGTATAAAATATAACATTACTCACCCACTGTGTTATTATATATTCAGGCCTTCAATATGATCCTTGATATTTTGGTGGTTTGGAAAAATGGTTGTAATTCATAATTGGGGCAACAGTTTGAGACACCTGTGATATTATCACTCTTGCGCAAATACCTTATTTGTTCTATTAGAATCTTGCACATTGGTAAAAGTAAGTAATATTTTCCAATTTTTGGTTTATAAGATGTACTCAAATAGAATAGTATATTTCAGATCACACTTGCATTCACATGAAAGCTGAATATCATTTTTTTCATTATCAGGTAATAATTCATGTGGTCTCAAGGCCGACCATATACGGCCATCCCCTTCAAACCCATGTTAGGGAAAGCTGTCTTTGACTGAGCCAAGAAGCTGGATCCATTATTCAGCATTCCTATAACAATATTTACCATGGAAACACAGAGCATGCACTGCTGTGTTTGAAATTATAGACAGTGAATACAGGTTTGTAGTGGGAATTCTGCCAAGGTATAATGGTGTGGCAACAGCTGAATTAATGAATTCAAGTCTACTTGGGAAACAAACATCAGACCTGAATACCACTCTTTAATATTGACCTAAAACTTTGATAGAAAACGATGCATAGAGAATCGTGGACAAATGTCATAGATAAATGCCCAATACCTGACATGAACAATGCAACAGATACATGCAGATTATACCAGAAATAAAGAGTTGAGCACTTAGATATATGTAATGCTTATGTTTTTTTGAAAGTCTACCTTCCTCAGGAAGCAGGCACATCAAAATTAAGTTTCTTATTGTTATTTCAGTGGTTAAAGTTTTCCAGTCTATGTATCATTAATGTCGATATGGCCTAAATGCTTAATATTCTGCTTCACAAACAGTTTCCAATGATAAAAACATGCACATGTTTTGTAGTGCAGCCAAAGTATCCCAGAATTTTGAATGCGGATGATGCCGAACACACCACAGAAACATTTTATAATCTTTGGGGCATTGACTGAAAATCTGCTGTAACATGACATAAAATTAGTCATTATTGGAAGATGCACTATGCATTTAAATGCAAATTGTCCAAATGACGTTCAATAGAACATTATATTTTTTGATTAGGATTCATGATGCCTAAATTAGAATACAGATATTTCACATACCGTATTTTTCTTCAATTAGACTCCACTTCGTTACACTTTCATTTCATGGTGGCGCTTATTTGTGGTTAAATTTGGGCAACTTTGTTTCAAATGACGCTTATTTCAAGCACGCTCTAGTAACCTGTTCCCCAAGCCATTGTTCTTCTTTATTCTCCTACAGTAGCAGTGAGGGACTTCTGTGATGGTGTCTATCACTACTAACCGGTAACTGGTAGTAGATCCGCCAGCACCCAATTCACGATCAATGCATGCCAAAATTTCAACTCTGTCTAGTGCTTAATTGGGGTGTAAAATACGATGTTTTTGTGGCATTGGCGCCTACTTGAAAGTGGTGCTTAACTGAAGACAAATAAGGTAGTCTGTTTTCCAGTTCACTTTAATTTTACCACATTTATTATGCTTTAGATGGGCAAAAAAAAGAGGCTCACACCTGGTAAATTTGAAGACACTTTCAGCTGGCTAACATTTTGCAGTTGATTAGCAAAGATAGAACACAAGTTAGTTGTCAACATATTGGTGTTATACATTCAAAATACTCACCTCAAAATTTTGTTCTTTAGAAAAAGTTGCTGCTTCCTATAAATTAAATAGAATTGAGAGTACCCAAGGATTTCATATTCGTGCAAGGATATTGATGTTTTTAACACACACAAAGTGTGTAAAGAGTAAGTGAATTATATGATATATCAGTTTATGTCCGAGAGACAGGTGAGGCGGGAAACACTGAAACACCAAAGTGAACATTTTCAAACGTTGCTTGAACATTTTTATAATGAATATTAGAACATGTCTAACATGTTTGGAAAGAGCAATCTAGACATCTGTTACTTCTTGAATTTGAACACATTTGAAGTTTGAATATTTTAACATTGATAGATTTTATATTCCAAAAGTTTTTCAGACAGAAAAATTATGATAATGTTAACAATTTAGAAAATAATATTTATTTGAAAGTAAATATAGTTGTAGCTTCTCTGCCAAAGCTGTTTACAAGTTCAAAATGTGGTCAACATACAAAAAAAAGGTATGAGCATACCCCCTTTGAGAAACTGTTAATTATTTATATTCAATATACTAAGAACTACCTTAATAAATGTAGTCATTATATATTAAACATGTATTCAATATTTTTGTTACTCAATTTGGGCAATAAAAACAGATTTTTTTTTTACTACACTTCAGTTTTGTAGGCCTAAAAAAATTATTCTGTTCAGGTGCAGGACAAACTTTTTTTCAAATTCGTCATTGCACAGCGCCCTCTGTTGAAGAATTGTATAAATCTGCAAAATATGTGTGCCGTCAAGTATTTTAGGGAAAGAAACACACAAGCCTCTTTTTGAGAAAAAAAAAACAATCTGACCAGAAACTTTTTTTTTTGCGAGGCCTAATAAACATGTTCACATTACTTTTGAAACTTTAAAGTGATGTAAAATTTTGATACACACAAACACGTATAATGAAATAAGACAAAACATTCACACCAAAGTACGTCTTTTACTACCCCAGGCGCTGGAGGTTGTAATGTTCCACTCGCCCGGTAGGATAATGCTATACAAACAACACTCCAGTCTGACTGCTATCGAAACTGAGTGCGCCATTCATAAAATAAATGTAGCGCTGATTGGGTGACGCGAGTGTCAATCAAACGCCCACTCTATAGCAAATGTCGTAAACAAAATCACCTGACTGGCGCCATTTTCAGTTCTCGGGGTCAGCATGCGTCTCTGTTTAGACTCTTGTGTGTAACTGTTCATAACGTGAAAATTTGGCCATGATTGCTAGGGAAAAGCTGAAATTAGCCTTAAAGACTATTTTAGAAGACATTCCTGGTGTGCCATCTCTCAAAGATGAACAGTTTATGGCAATTGAAAAGATTGTAAACCGCTGTGACACTGTTGCGTTTTTGCTGACTAGTAATCATGTTTATTCTGTTTTGCAACATATATCAATTTCCTTTGACAAAATTGCCGTCAATCCGCCAAAACCGTGATTTCGTATTTTTTTAAGATTATCACAAGAGCAAATTAATAATGATAAAAGCAAAATAATATCCAATGCACGCGATTAATTACGCTGGTCCATAAAATAACTCCAGTCTGACACGAGAAACTTCAAACAAGTTTGTCATGAACTAAATCCAGATCGTGGTAGAAAACTGTATGACACAAAAATAACTCTCAAATGAATTCAACCACTTACGATCAATGACAGCGCTAAGGAAACTGGGATAAAAACACCAACATGATCAATGTTGATTTCCCCCGCCATCTCCCATATAGTAGTATAGTAGTAGTAGTCCAGAGTTTTAAATCCGGTTTGGTCCCCGAAGACGAGGGTGGCCGGATTCACCTTAAACTAGTGGCAATCGCTCTTACCCCCTCCCTCCACTTTGCACGATTTAAAACATCCCTCATCCTCATCCCAACCTTCCCACTCTCCTCCTCCACTTGCATCTTCCACGTCTTCTTTGGCCTTCCCCTTTTCCTTGGACCACTCACCTCTAAATCAAGGGCCCTTCTTAATACATGCCCATCCTCCCTCAGCACATGCCCATACCAACGTACCCCATTTGCCTTCGCCAACCCATCTACCGCTTCATTCAAACCCAACATCTGCATCAAGTTCTTAGTTAACTTTCTGTCCATCAACTTCACCCCACACATCACTCTCATCATCGCTCTCTCTGTCCTCCTTAAAATACCCAGCTCATTTTCACTCAAACACCATGTCTCGCTCCCATACAGCAATGCTGATCTCACACAACTCTTATAAACTATTCCTTTCATCTCCAAGGGAAATCTCTTCCCATATAGTAGCTCTCCACATTCCCTAAACTTGACCCAAGCAAACCTTGCTCTAGCTGTCACAGCCTTGTCCCCCAGGTATGTAAACTCCTTCACTGACTCAACCTCATCACACAACTTTTCTTCCTGTTCCACCACCCTTCCAACTCCATTCTTACATCTTCCACACGCAAAATCCCTTGCCAATCTTTGGGTCACCCTCTTTATCTTTGCACATCTCCCATGTATCCACTTCCCACATTTCACACACCGCACTGAATTTGCCTTTACCCTCTTTCCACACATGCCACATGGGTCAACCTTACTCACCAAGGCTTTCTCCTCTGTCCCACTCACCATCACTTTTGTCTTTCCCAGATTTACCTTCAAACCCTTACTCTCAAATGCTTTTTTCCATTTCAGAAACTTCTCCCTCAATCTCTCCATTGTGTCATCCATCAAGACCAAGTCATCAGCATACAACATCTCTCTCATCAACCCTTCTCTTGCACTCTCTGTAACTACATCAATGATAACTGCAAATATCAATGGTGATAGTACAGAGCCTTGATACACCCCACCTTCACCTCAAACTCCTCTGACAACTCCGATCCTACTCTAACTCTTGTCTTTGCTCCTATATACAAACTCATCACTGCTCTTACCATTGTCTCTGGTATACCTCTCTTCCGCATTGCCCACTCCATCACCTTCCTCGGGACTCTATATGGTTAGTTAATATATTCAGTTGTTTATTAACAGCTACGTCAAGAGTCGCGTGTGATTGGCTATCATTCATTCAAAGTGCAAAGGTCGCATGCAATTCATTAGTGAGTGGGCAGAACTCAGTTCTGATAGCAGTCAGACTGGAGTGTTGTTTGTGTAGCATTATCCTACCGGGCGGGCTGTCGAGCTGGGTGGTCTGGCGGGCGGGTGGAACATTACAACCTCAAGCGCCTGGGGTAGTCTTTTACGTGCAGTCAGTAACATAGCAACCAGTGAATTTATATATTCGTACTTACCGTTTCATTTCCAAATAATACATCTACATATGGCATGGCCGCCATCATTGGTTCTTTGAAGAATTGGCATAAAAATGGTGCAGATAAGTTAAGGCAAAAAGTCTTATTTTCCTCAAAAGCATGTTGTCCAAGAGCTTGAATAGCTGGAGGAGCAACTGTCAAGTGAAAACCCTGAAAAAAATATACAAATATTGATGTCATTACATGGAGGCACTGTTCAGGATTGACACATTGGACACTACAACACAACATGGTAGTGCTGTTAAAAAATGGTGGGATGAGGATACCATATTGACACATTGAACACTACAACAATACTGTTACACTGTTCAAGATGAAGACACCATATCACGTGGGATAGTATGTCTGAGTACAATATGAAACTCACCCCTACATAGATGACTTTGGCTGCTTTTACAAATTCCCAATTTTCTGGAAGCACAAGATGATCTTTGTTATAGCAGTTTGCAGCAGCTAAGTATGCACATAAGGACCTTGAGAATATAAAACAGAATTTTATGTTTACCAAAACTAAGTTCTTTAATTATTTGCTAGACTGTCGTAACAACATTCACATGAAATTAATCATTCTAAGTTTGGGTGGATTTAGGTTTAATAATAACTTGCTGAATGAGTAGACAACCAACCGGGCATTCATGATTCAATGACACCCAATGATGGACTGACTACTACTTGGGATCGATGCTTTGTAAATACTAAGTTTGAACAAAATCTGTTCATGCATGACAGAATTGCTGAAATTCTTGATTTAAATGAATACATCAATACAGCCACCATTCAACCATCTTGAATTGGATACCAACATAATACATGATGTATAGATAAAGTTTGAATATGATTGGTCAGGGAATGACCAAGATATAGCTCAAGAACCACCTTTGTGGTTTTTGTGGTTAAAAAATTTTAATGAAATCTGTCCATATATGACTAAGATGTGGTCTGGAATGGCAGAAATGCTTGATTTTAATGAATTTTTACCACAAAACTGGTCGCCACATGCATACATTTTCAAAGATGCATGATGTATGCGTGACGTTTAAATGTATAATTGGCACATACATGTCAGAAATGCAGGTGGAGACGCACATACATGTCAGAAATGCAGGTGGAGACGCACATACATGTCAGAAATGCAGGTGGAGACACACATACATGTCAGAAATGCAGGTGGAGACGACGCACATGCCAGAAATGCAGGTGGAGACGACGCACATGCATGTCAGAAATGCAGGTGGAGACGCACATACATGTCAGAAATGCAGGTGGAGACGGACATACATCTCAGAAATGCAGGTGGAGACGCACATACATGTCAGAAATGCAGGTGGAGACGCACATACATGTCAGAAATGCAGGTGGAGGAGACGCACATGCATGTCAGAAATGCAGGTGGAGACGCACATACATGCCAGAAATGCAGGTGGAGACGCACATGCATGTCAGAAATGCAGGTGGAGACGCACATGCATGTCAGAAATGCAGGTGGAGGAGACGCACATGCATGTCAGAAATGCAGGTCGAGACACACATACATGGCAGAAATGCAGGTGGAGGAGACGCACATGCATGTCAGAAATGCAGGTGGAGACGCACATGAATGTCAGAAATGCAGGTGGAGACACACATGCATGTCAGAAATGCAGGTGGAGACGCACATACATGTCAGAAATGCAGGTGGAGACGCACATACATGTCAGAAATGCAGGTGGAGGAGACGCACATGCATGTCAGAAATGCAGGTGGAGACGCACATGAATGTCAGAAATGCAGGTGGAGACACACATGCATGTCAGAAATGCAGGTGGAGACGCACATACATGTCAGAAATGCAGGTGGAGACGCACATACATGTCAGAAATGCAGGTGGAGACGCACATGCATGTCAGAAATGCAGGTGGAGACGCACATACATGTCAGAAATGCAGGTGGAGACGCACATACATGTCAGAAATGCAGGTGGAGATACACATGCATGTCAGAAATGCAGGTGGAGACGCACATGCATGTCAGAAATGCAGGTGGAGACGCACATACATGTCAGAAAGGCAGGTGGGGAGACGCACATGAATGTCAGAAAGGCAGGTGGGGAGACACACATGCATGTCAGAAATGCAGGTGGAGATACACATGCATGTCAGAAATGCAGGTGGAGATGCACATGCATGTCAGAAATGCAGGTGGAGATGCACATGCATGTCAGAAATGCAAGTGGAAACGCACATGCATGTCAGAAATGCAGGTGGAGACACACATGAATGTCAGAAATGCAGGTGGAGACGCACATACATGTCAGAAATGCAGGTGGAGACGCACATACATGTCAGAAATGCAGGTGGAGACGCACATGAATGTCAGAAATGCAGTGGAGACGCACATGAATGTCAGAAATGCAGGTGGAGACGCACATGAATGTCAGAATGCAGGTGGAGACACACATACATGTCAGAAATGCAGGTGGCGACA